TCATCGCAACCATTACATGCATCACATGAACAGATTTGATCATTATCGTCGTCGTCGTTGTCGTCATCATCGCAACCTTTACATGCATCACATGAACAGATTTGATCATTATCGTTGTCATCATCGCAACCGTTACATGCATCACATGAACAGATTTGATCATTAACGTCGTCGTCGTTGTCGTCATCATCGCAACCATTACATGCATCACATGAACAGATTTGATCATTATCGTCGTCGTCGTTGTCGTCATCATCGCAACCATTACATGCATCACATGAACAGATTTGATCATTATTAATTCTTTGTCTACTACTTCTTTGATAACGTTTTTCTTCATATAAATCTTTAAGTTCACGAAGACCCTTAAAATTATTTCGGTTTTCTGGATTATATTCATCTATTTCGTCTAATAATTGTTCTACTTCTCCAAAGCTAATATCGTAGTCGGGTCTTGCTAATAGACGATCAACCCTTCTATATAATTCTCTTTTTTGTTTTTTTCTATCGGTGTATCGTTGCCATCCATATCTAACAATTGTAGTAACTAATACCGTTACAGGGTCTGCCATTTTCTTTAAGTTTAAGATGCTAATTAGATGTTAAAATTTAAATTTAAAATTTTATCAAAAAAAATTGAGTAATTATTTTTTTATACTTTTTCTTAGTTTCGCTGGAATATTAATCGAGTTGTTAAGATAAAAAATTTTAGGGACGGTATTCATCACCAAAAAGAAAACGAAACAGTCTATTGTCCAGAGGACACTTATTCTTTAGGTTGGTTAATCACTTACTATTTAAATTATTGTCTGTCCGCCACATGACATCGTACATATTTGTATAACAAAAAAAACCTGTGACATGTAACACAACAAACCTCGATATAACGAACCTCTTGAGCTGGAAATTTTTTTCGAATTTCGAACCAGACTCGAACCCAGGCAAAAGTCCGGTTCGGTTCATAGGAACACTAATTATAAATATCTTTCATAAAATTCTTTTCAAAATTTCTTATTAAAAATATTTTTAAATAATTTTTTATTCCAACTTGAATGTTAAAAATTTCAATTCATCACTTTTGACATGAAATTTTACTTTGTTAACATGCTTTGTGGTATTATGAAAACTTGTTTCTAATATTCTAGAGAATATATCTACAAATTTTTATGATTTTTAAATGATTCCTCATTAAGATATAAACAAAAAACATGTTCATCATTACTTTTGCCAGGGACTGTAATTATTTTATTACTAATTAAAATATAATAATATAATTATAATTTAATTAAAAAAATATTATATTTAATTATATTACATACATATATATATATAATATAATTTATAATTAGGTTTCCAATTAATTATTATATAATTATTTGATCAAATTAATTCAGCCATAATGAATTTAATTTTATTATATATATATAATAAAAATAATTATGAAATAATTTTTTGAAAAAAAGTAATTTTATCAAGTATTTCATTAAGTATTTCAATTTAAAATGTTCTTTATATAATTTTATATTAAATTTCAGTATGATTTTGAAAAGGCAGAACGTTATCTCGATGCAATTATATAATCGAAATCTGACAGCTGCGTCTTACCGATGAAGATTTATTATAGTGCAACGGCGATAGTGACACCGACGTCTTTGAATACCGCTTTTCTGTGTCTATTGTATACAGCTATTAACAAAAGAAAAGAAACAATTCGATTATTTGCTTGGTAATAATTCAGCGAAAATTCCTTACGTCATTGGTGATCACAATTTTCCGCAAAATTCATATGGTGCACAACATCTAAAGTCATCAAACGTTTGTATTTTATAAAATGGATAAACTTCTTTACTAAAAAGTAAATACAAAATTTAAACCGTGAATATGATAGAATAGCCCCTTTCTGAGCATATTCACGGATTAAATTTTGTATTTACTTCTTGGCAAAGAAGTTTATACATTTTGTAAAATACAAACGTTTGATGACTTTAGATGTTATGCACCATATCATGCTGGCGTACGGAGGTACCATTTGGGTGTCCTTTATGAAACTATTGTCGGAGGTCTAAATAAAATGAGAAGAAACAGAAGTACTTCTTTTCTTTGCGACGTTTTTTTTGTTGTTGATTTTTATTTCAATTCTAAAGATTTCCAAAGTTGATGACATCAAGTGATAAATACTCAAACCGATCCGGACTATGCGACTTTTGCACTTGGTCGAGCACTGTTTATTCTTTACCATCAATCAAATCAAAAGAAAGGTTCTATTTACGGTCAACGTCGTCGGAATAGATCTTTTTTAGATTTTAATAATATAATTTTATGTATTTATATAGTGACTCGTGATAACGACCCTCTCGGCTCTACATTCAAACCTCGTTATAATAAAGAACGTCGAGGTAAGGGAAAAATTTTCACTATAGCTTATATCGAGAGAATATTATATAACTTCACTACATCGAATTGAAGTTTATTAATGATTCTAAAAAATTCTTCACTATATCGAGAGTGAGTTGTATTAGTAAATTTTCATTATACATTATACATTATTGGGTATGGAAAATCATATCAAGATCAATGATTAAAATGGCATGTTTTTTTTTTAATTTATAGTCAACATTTGGAAAATACAAGAGTTTTTTAATTCTATTTGTTAGTGTATTTATTGTACTCTCTATTTCGTAGCAAGATTTATTCACAAAGAGCTATGGTACTTGTAGTAAAAAAGTCTTTTCTTTAATTATTACTTTTCATTCTTTTGTATATTGCAGGGTAACAATTTTATCACTATGCAATTTGTCTCGGCTGTATCAGACCTTGCGGACATCGAGGTACTTAACACGCTCAATTCAAGAACAATTAGTATTGGTAATTCAAACAATCGTTATTTTGAAGATTTTTGATTACCGATATCTTTTCTAGAGGAATACGAAATTAGTTCGGGTTTTGGATTACATAAATTAAGACTCACAATGCAATTTTCAGTTACTAAATTAATGGTCTTGAGGTTAAGTAAAGGTTTAAATTTTCTAAAGAGTCCGTTATATCGACTTGCATTGTGTACATCGGTGATGCTATTTAGAAACTCGTTTATCGTAATATCATGATGCTATTTTCTATATTAGGGATAACAATTTACTTCGCTAAATTCTAAAATCGCGAGAATATAATCAATTTTCGGTAAAACAGGCTAATTTTATATAGATTGAACTGGGATATTTTAAATCACCACATCGCCCTGATTGTAGTTTGGATTTTCTGGGCGAGTACATTTAATATATTTAGTCATTTAGTATTAGCATTTCTATAAATTTATCATTATTAACTTTTTTAGGTCCTAATGTTGTAGCATACGATATAATACCATTTCTCGCTCTCGTCACCAGTTTTGTGGTGCTCACAATCAGTATTAATTACTTTCAGAAGAGAATAGAACAGATGAGACATTAAATGGAGAGATTCAGTTGCGATTACTTTCTCATGGCGCAACAGTTGCTTGATTAAATTCCGAGATAAGTCAATTATTTTCCACTTCTTCAGAAAATATCCACTTGAATGAATGATGTTTTATCTATAGTCAATTTTATTTAATTAATTGATCTTTGGATGATTTTTTTTGAGAATGCTCAAAAATTTTATTCTTTTTTCCATAATGCTCACAAATAAAGAATTTGAAACGTTGATTCGATAAAGTTTTGATTCGATAAAGTTATATGTGAAAAATCAAAGCATTTTTTGACTCTATCTCCCCTTTATTCTCTCCTCCTCCTAATTTTTTGTATTTAATTTTTTGGCAATTCAAAGCGTTATCCGAAATCTCCTTTTTTACGTAGTAAACAAGAACGAGAACATTCAAGATAATCGGAATAAAAGAATATAATTACAGGATTTATTCCAACAATTAATAGCTAGTATCCCGGTAATAGCACCTCTTTTTTGTCAGGAATTTACCCTTTGTGACCTCGCTCTCTGTTAATCTAGAATCCATCCTCCAAGACAGAGGAATCTATAGAAAGTGCTTATTTTGTAAACACGGGAAAATGAATATATTTTGCGCCCAAAGAATTGCTCCGATTCGTAATGGTGAACAGTGAATGTTACAACTCTAAAATACAGACGGTAACTAAGCGATAGACATTGAAGAAGAACTGAAGAAAGTTAAATCAAAAATGAAATAAATACCATCGATACATTTTGCCTGTCATTTAGAGTTTTTGAGTAAATCCGACTTGGTATCTGTTAATCCATCAAACAAAACAACAATATTTATTTTTCCCAAGAAGTTGTCAACATTAGAAAATAAGTATTATAGATACATAATCGATTACTGTTCGGATAATTATAAGCAACGACCATTCAGTGTCATAAAAACAAAGTCACACCAAAAGAGGCTAAAGCAGATCATTATATTTAAAAGAGGGTTCAAAGTTCTACGGGTCAAACTTCGATACTTCTCTCGATTATACTATCGACAGAATTAGTGTTTCAAGCGAAACTAGTTTGAAGAGTTTCGGATCAAAGTTTCGGCATAAGGGCGAAATTGGTTTGAAAATCGTCAGATAATTTCGTCCAATCATTAACAGAAACAGTGATAGTGTTACACCGGTAACACTAAATCTTCTTTTAGAAACACATTGTTTTTTTCTTTTTCCCTTTTTAATTCTTTATTTATGTCAATCAATTCTGATTACACCGCCAATTATACCTCAAATTACACCTCAAATTACACCATAAATTCCACTGTAAATTCCACTGTAATTTCCACCGTAATTTCCACTGTAATTTCCACCGTAAATTCCATCATAAATTAGATCATAAATAGGAAACCAAAAATATGTATATAATGAGAGTGATAAAGAGCAATTCAAAAAGAGAGGAGAATTGGCAATAAAGCAATAAAAAAACTTTAAAAATAATTACTTGCGTACAATTAGTTCTTTTATTTCTCCATCCCAATAATCCATTGCTGTAAAAAGGGTTTGCCACTTTAATCCAGAAAAGTGAGGTGCCTATGGTGCATAACATCTAAAGTCATCAAACGTTTGTATTTTACAAAATGTATAAACTTTTTTTACAAAGAAGTAAATGCAAAATTCAATCCGTGAATATGATAGAATAGGCTCTTTCTGAGCATATTCACGGATTAAATTTCTTAGTAAAGATGTTTATACATTTTATAAAACACAAACGTTTGATGACTTTAGATGTTATGCACCATATCGATATTGTACGTGTTGCTGCGGTGATTGAGGTGGTGCCGTTTGTTGTTAGATTATTTCTCATATGATACATAATCTCTCGAGTGCATAAATTGGTTCCTTTAACTGTCAAACCAAAGGATCTTGTGACTGTGGAGTTAAGAATCATCAGGTGATGCATAGTAAACACAGGAAACGGATTCTGCTTTTGGTGATGAAAAGAAACAGCGCAGGATCTTTGTGTGTCATTCCTTTGTGAGACAGATATATACGTATGTATACGTATGCTTGTAAAATATTTGCTACTTACTTTTTGACTTATAAAAGCATACAAAGTTGAAATTATTACTTAGCGTTAAAGATTTGGAAAGCAATAA